TTATTTGAATATGTTTTGTGGGTCCGGAAGACAAAATACAGGCTTGCATATAGTTATATAACAAAGGAAGAGGCACACTTAGTAGTTTTTCTGGAAATTTCACTCTGTTCTGTGTGTAATAAGCCAAACAGTGACTCTCTCTCTCTCTCTCTCGCTCTCTCTCTCTCTCGCTCTTCCTCTCTCTCTCTCTCCTCTCTCTCTCCTCTTCCTTTCTCTCTCTCTCCCTCACTTCTTCCCTTCTTTCTCTCTTTCCCTCCCACTCCCTCCTCTCTCTCTCTGTTTGTCTGTGTGTGTGTGTGTGTGTGTGTGTGTGTGTGTATGCATGCTTGTGTGAAAATATATACACTCATGCTCCATAGAAAGATGTTACAGACTGCAGTGGACCCCTTATAATGAGTCCCATAAGATAATAGTGTTTAGTAATATTGTGGACATCTGAGCTTACATGAATACTCTCTGGATCACAAAAGGTAAAATTGCACATTTCTCAGAATACATTTGGTAAGTGATGTGCGACAATGTGTGTGTGTGTGTGTGTGTTTACAATTGAATAATACTACTGTTCATTATGTATCATAAATTTTCAGAGAAGCATACATATTGCCCCTTCTAAGCACTTACTGTTCTTATGAAGGGGTACTCTGCAGTTGTTCTCGCATTACCATTTTACAGAAGGAACACCGAGGTGCATGAGGTTTAGTCCTTTAGATAGTAAGGACAGAGGCAGGGTGCAAACCCAGGCAGTCTGACCCCATTGCGGGACTCTTTGTCTTTCTAGACTCACTGTCCTAAGAAGAGATGGGAAATGGGTGCAGCAGGCACAGACTGTCCCAGATCCCGCTGAGCTCTGGCAGAGTAGGACTGAGTCACTAGGGTCTTCAGGAACTGGAGGAATAGATGCCATTTAAAGAGCATCCTATGACTAACAAAATGGGTAAGAGATAACCAGTGTTGGTAAGGGCACAGGAGAAAGAATCCCTCCGCACTGCTGGGCAATAAATTGGTTCAGTCTTATGAAACCCAGTATATTTGCCCCTCATATTAAAATAGAACCAGCGTGTGACCAGATATACCACCTATGGCTATCCATCCAAAGACTATGAAGTCAGTGTCCCCAAAAGCACACCAACACTTCCTTGTTCGCTGTGGCACAATACGCACAGGTACACACAGTGGTAACTATATGAAGCAATGGATGAGTTCCTCAGCTTGACTGTGATAATCACTTCACAATGCATATGTACATCAAGTCACTGTTATTAAATACAGACATATATAGGTTCAGTTAATTATAACTCAACAAAGTTGGAGAACTTTGAAAAGAAATGAATGAAAAAGCATACCCACAGCTTCCGTCTTCCTGTTCCACTTTCTCCTTCAGGAGCTTCTAGCGTTGATGTCTACTTACGGTTTTCTTTAATTGCTTATCCTGTGCCACCCCCCGGGGAGTGTAAGTGCTCCAGGGTGGCCATCAGCGTCGTCGCCTCTCATTGCCAGGACCTGGAGTGCAGTGGATGCCCAATGTATGCTGGAGTGTTGGAGGGTCTGAGTGTCTGTCCACAGGTTGAAAGGCAGTGTGACAAGAAAGTTTAGTTTGTGTTTTTGCTGACACCAGACCTGCCTGACCTGTGAGTGACTCTCAGGCAAGAGATAAATGAGCAATACGCAACAAGCGGTGGCCGGAACCAAGGAGACGGGGCGGTTAATGGTGCTCCACGGACAGGGAAGAGAGACAGGTCTCATTGCCCACAAAGGGCCATTCAGAGAGGCCCTTTGGTGGCAACACTTGAAGAGACAGGTGAGGTCTCACGGGAGACCTGATCTTTCCTCAGCACTGCTGAGGCTGACTAGGAAACAGATGCCGGGGCTGACATCAGAATTTCATTATGCCAGGAAAACACTGGGGACAGTCCTGTGGGGGTCAGTTCCTGTAAACGCTGCAGCCAGCAGAGAAATGATCTGAGTGAGGCAAGAAGGGAATCCGGCTAAAACCCAGCTTAGTTAGTTGATGTGGGTTCTAACTTTCTAGAGCCTGATACCGGTCAGTTTATTTCATAGGCATTTAAGTACAGTACAATTTTAGAAAAAAAAGGTTTCCTGGTAGCAATTATGTCAATGCCATGTGTACTATAAAGCTTAAGTCAGCGCAAGGACCCAGGGGAGGACCAGACATGGTCTCGGTCATACAGAGACCACATCCTAGAGGTCACTACGCTATAAAATATGCGTGACATCTTCCCTTAGGATGGGTTCTATTGAGTGAGAAACAACGCTCAAGCTAAAAGTCTAGGAAGGAAGGATCTGGGATAAGCAGAATAGTCTGGGGGTTCAGGTGCAGCCTAGCCCTACAGCTAGCACAGGTCACCAGGCTATTAACAGAATCCACTCCCAGCCTTCTGGGTGGACAAAAAGGTACACTCCCTTCCACTAAAGAGACAAGCCTGGGCGCTTCTTCACATTTCTGCTTTCCCTGGTGCTTGTCGGTGAGCACAGGGACCTCATGCCCTCTACCCAGGGTGGGTAGGAAGAGCGTGTTGCTGTGTAGAGGCTCCCAAGACTCAGCAGCCTGCCACCAGGAGCCACCTTTCTAGACTTTCCCCCTGCCCCCGAGTGCTGCCCGCCATCTGTAACATGGGAAAAAATGCTGCCTACCTCATGGTGTCATGGTGAGGCCTGGAGGAGGCAGCTTTAGGTAAGGACCTGGGGTGGTACCTGTCCTGTAAGTGTTATCAGCACACAAGCTAAGACTGCTTCTGCTGTCACCCCCCCCCCCCAAAGGGAAGTGTGGACAAGGGACCCATGCTTTAAAGCCATGGGAACCCCAGTGTGAGGAACTAAAGAGCCAGTCAGGCTCCAGAACCAGCGCTCTCCGTCCGGTGGCCATGGCACCGACCCTTACTTGACAGATGGTTGAGGTCAAGATCCAAGAATGAGCATGGAGGCAGCTGGATGAGAATCCTGACCCCATCATTCACCAACAGGGTGTGCATGTGTGTATGTGTGCATAGGGTTTGTTCATGAGCATGTATGTGAAGGCATGTGTGTGTCTGTGTGCCTGTGCACGTGTGTATGTATATCGTCTGTGTTAAACCTGAACTCCTGAGACCCATGAAAATCTAAAATTGTGTCATATTGCGTTATCCCAGATACTAGCCAGGAACAAAGGGATGATTTGGGGATAAGTTCCTCAGCCAAGGCTGCAAACACTTGAAACACCTGCTCTTCAAAGCCAGAGCGCTTTACAGTCACAAAAACTGTGGGCACCTCTGTGCCTGTTACACAGAGATACCAAAGAGTATTTAGAGCCACAGCAAGGGCTGGTCTGCATTGCTGGATCCACAGAGACTAGGCTCTGACTTCATGTTATGAGCGCAAGTTGGTGTAAGTCCTTGTCTCATAGTTTTGGGGGAAAACCTTGTCTTTAGGCGCTTGCTTAGATCTACAGAGGGCATTTCCTGAGATTGACCACTAGATGGCAGGAGTGTTCTTTCTCACCCTACTTGAGCGGGCAGGCAGCAGAACCTTACCCTGCGCGGTACCCCATTATTGCCTCCTTCATTCTCTCCTCATGGAAACCTCGGACTAAAGAACACAGTCCACCCCAAATGCTAAACCCAGCACCCATCACATAGTAAGGCCTCAGAAAACATTCAGCCTCCCTTTGTGGGTACCAACCACTGCCTTGGCTCCCTGCGTGGACCCTGCCCTATCTATTGGCTCTCATCGGTCAGGCACTGTCTTAGTCCCCGTGTGATCTTAAACCAATTATTTCAGATTTTTAAAAATACCCGGCTTTTCACGTGTATAACAGAGGCTGTAATGCCTTCCTTATTTGAGGAAGACTTCAGAATCAGAAACCAGGCCAGAGTAAGGCTGCGAATGGTGCTCACTGTTGCTAAAGTGATATAACTTCCTTCCTTCCTCTCCTCAGCCACGCAATACTCACGGCTCCTGCCCTCAGGGAACTCACAGTTCATGTTTTCCTAGTCTCCATCCATACATGGAACACTTGGACCCCTTATGTCTCTTTTTTATAAGCCACAAGGATTTGGGTGGTATCATCTACCCTTCCGGTCCCTCTCCAGGAAAGACACCATTATTGCAGACACAAAATTCAGGCATCTTGTCCTCCCCCGGGACGCTATTACAGAAACTGAGCGACAAGCTACCTGACTGTTGCCTTCACACGGCCTGTACCTGGCTTTGAGATCAGAAGGTTTCATAGGGATGCCCAAGGCACTTGGGAGGGAGCCACACGGTGGGAAGCTGAGGTCTAAAAGCTCATCTGTCTCTGTTTAATTTTTGTCTGATTTATATTTGGGAGCTATACATAGTTTTCTGGTGAAGAAAATCATTGGTGACAGCTACTATAAATGGGAGGCAGGGGATGAGTTTGAGACAATTCAAGAAAACCTTCAGGCATGAGACTGGGAGCTGGGGTGTGGGCTTCACTTCGTGTTCCAAGGGTGAACTCTAACATCCAGAGTGCAGAACTTAACTTCTCCTGTGTTCTGTGGGCAGGGAAAGGGTCCTTTGCTGGGCTTCTGTAGAGGACAAGGCTAAGACTTTCTCATCCCTGTTCTCAGAGACAGAGTTCCAAAGAAGAACAGCCCAGACCAAGGCTTAGGCTGCTGATCTCTTTCGGATGTGTTTTAAAATCAGTTTTACAAGAAAATGGAATTTAATATTTTTTAATTTTCATTTTATTAATTTATTTATTTGAGACAGGGTCTCTATATGGAGCCTTGGCTGTCTTGGAACTAGCTCTGTAGACCAGGCTAGCCTAAACTCTTAGAGATCTGCCTGCTTCTGCCTCCCAAGTGCTGGGATTAAAGGTGTGCGCCACCACCAGCCAGGTTAAATTTTCAGCTTTAACAGTTTAGGGGTTATGCAGAATCTTGTCTTCTGTCACCATCATGGTGACCAATCGGGGATCGGGGAGGCCGTTAGCCACGTGTCCCACAGTCTGCGCTCAGGATCCTGTGCTTTCTGTGTTGCAGTGCCCTGGTTCCCAAGGACCATTCAAGAGCTGGACAGATTCGCCAACCAGATTCTCAGCTACGGAGCAGAACTGGATGCAGACCACCCCGTGAGTCCAGGGCCCGGGAGGAGAGTCTTCCAACCTTCTCTCCATCTTCTCTTCCTTCTCCTTCCTCTCACATCTTCAGCTTGGAGCAATGTGCTTGTTTATTTGGTCAAGAAAAGATCACTGAGTCCCTACCTTTGCCCGGGCTGGGAAAGCAAAGATTAACGAGACCACGGGATCTCATTGTCCTCATGACTGTGGTTGTTGCTGTCAGGGTGAATGTGAACCAGTGGCCAGGAAATGCTCTCCCTGTACAATGGTGTGAGCTTCTGTTTCTGTCTTTGTAGATTTCATGGACATTGAAATCCAGCACAGCTAGGGTCGGACAGTGAGGGAGCCGATGTGTAGAGGGCTCTGGTCAGGTGAGGGAGGAGAGGCATCTGGCTGAGAGGATCACATCTGCTGTGAGCGCGTTCCTCCGGGATGGAGATGAGTGGGTGGTGCTTCGGGTATGACAGGGAGAGAGTGAGTTGAGACACGCAGAGTGGTGGATTTCACTGTGCCCTGCAGAGCCAGCTTTTTAAATGGGTTCTCACTAGAGGACTAGATCAGTGTGTGTGTGTGTGTGTGTGTGTGTGTGTGTGTGTGTGTGTGTTGGGTGGGTTCTTCTTATTCCTTCTTCTTCTCTGGGGTCAGTGGTCCTTGGGGTTGAAAAGAGGTGGTCTAGCTGCTTCTTGGGGTGAGCAGTGCGTCATTATGACTCTATTTTCTCCACTCTCTGTCAGGAAGTAGACTCTCTGACCATTTTAACCAGGAAGCATTTTATATTAACAAAGTTTTAGTGTGACTGGTGATGGGGCATGTCTGTGCCCTGTCCAGAGTCTCCACACAACCTTGTGGGGTCTAATAACCAACGGGAGGCTTGCTCTTCCCAGAGGCAGTTTCCTGTAAGCAGGCTGAGGCTTCCATCTCATAGACAGGCACAGTGGTGCCAGGTACCTGCTCCAATGTTCCTTGTTGATCGAACCTGAGCTCCTTGGACCTTTACCTCAGTGCTCAGGGTAGTTGAAGACACAGGCTTGGCTGGTGACAAGAAACCCAATCTCCTGCACGCCAACAAATGGGGGGGGGGCATAGGCCAGCCTTTCTGGCGCATACTCCAACCCAAGTAGTAAACGTTGTGAGAAGACTTGAAGTGCATGAGGAAGACAGTGAAGACTCCAGCAACTATAGTTACCAAGTTTTCTCTTTATCCTATCCTTCAATTAAAAAATAAAGAGAGAAAGCATTTTATGAATAGATACAAGGGGAATTCATCCCACCCTCTACACTTCAAAGAAGAAAAAAAAATACTATCTTTATACTTTTCTAAAATAGTATTGATGTCTGGGAGGGGTCCCTTACATGCACAGCCACACGAGTGTGCATATGTGTGTCAACCTAGTCCTGTTCTCATCAGGCATGGCCAACCACAAGCCCAGCTCTATTGTTACACTGAAGTCAAGGTCTCTGCCTGACGTCTTCAAATAGACTTAGAACAGCTCTCCTGAATCTTAGTTGTGAGGTTATAGCAAATTATCTTAAGCTGAGGGTAGACATTGTATTTAAGCATTCTATTTGAGCCTTAAATACCGTGTTTCACGGACGTGGTGAGCACTTGTGAGCCTCGGGCAGGAGGCTCGTGAATTCTAAGACAGTCTGGGCTATGTAGTGAGACTCTGTTTCTAAAACTAAACCAAACTAGACCAGACCCAAACTAGCTCAAATCAAATGAAATCAAACTAAAAATGCCAGCTCTGGAGGGACAGGTTCTCTCTTGTCTTTCTGTATATGACACAGTCCATTTCATGGGGCCCAGCGAAGGCAAAGGCCACACTGGCCATACCCTAATGCCCCCTCTAACAGACCTCTACCTGTGCCTCTCAGCTGTGGGCCCTGCAAGCCAAAACAGCTCCGGAGATTTCTTCCCGCCCCAGGAAAGCAAGTCCGACGCACACATGAGAATTTCTCTTCTCCCCCCAGCCCCATCATCCTGCCTTGACCCTCTGTTCTTCCCATTGGCCTCAGTCCTAATCATTTGGGTGGAGGGGAGAGGCCAGTCCAGAGAGAGAGGGACACGTCCTTCCCTGTACTGTCATGTCCCCTCAGAAACCAAAGCTGCCCCGAAAACCTCTCTGGAATCCATTTCTCTTTGCCAACCCAGGCCACAGCTTTGGCTTCCCAGACTCTCGGTGTCATGAATTTTATCATAAAAACACAACTTATCAGGTACACAGTCCCCCTGTAGTGGAGGCGCCAGGCTCTCTCTGTTCCTTTGGTCTTCCCTCAGATGCCGGGAACAGGGGCCAAGCATAGAGCAAGGCGGCGGGTGTTTGCCGGCAGCCACCGGCCCCCACAGCCCCCACAGGCCTGGCCTCAAGGTGTGAACCAGGCTAGCAGTGAAGACACCAGGCTAGCAGTGAAGGGGCTGTTCTTCTTCAGGGACCCTCTGTTCTGCTGTGTCCCTTGTAGTCAGCACGATCCCTTCCTCCCCTGACCCCTTGCCCTTGGCAGGATGCATTTGTGTTTGACCTAGTACTCCAGAGCCTCCCAAACAGCCACTCTGGGAACCGAGGGAAAGGGAAGATTGTTCTGGAAATCCGGGCTAAAGGCACTCTGCCTTCAGCTTCAGCTAAGTGAGGAAATGGAATAGGATGGCCAGCTGTCCTTCACTCTGCCCCTCTTGCCTTATTTTCTCCTCTCTTGCTCCTCTCTCTCTCTCTCTCTCTCTCTCTCTCTCTCTCTCCCTCTTCCTCCCCCTCTCTTCTTCCTTTCCACAAGTATTTATCAAGCTGCTGGCATCACCAGCTAAGCTTTCTTGGTCACCATCTGTGTCCTAGGCACAACGCTAAACACTTGGCACATGGTTCATTTTAGTGCCAGTCGGCACCCCGGAAGGCTGGGCTCCTCATGGTCAGGCGAGGGCGCTCAGGAAGTTGTGAGCTGTGTTCCACCCAGGTAGGAAAGGGAGCTGAAGTGGTAAGACGATCCACCAGTGCCCACACGCCCCTCTAACTACAGAGCAGAAGAGGAAGAGCATCGACTTCTCTGAGCGGTGCCAAGGGAACCTGAGGTAGCAACTCAAGCTTGGTGGGCAGGGTCCCGGTCGATGTGCTTGATTTCCGTTCCCCAAGATGGCCATGCTGTGCCCTTTGCCTGAGGTGCTCTTCCTCAGAGCACCGTCACTGTCCGTTCTCACTGGCAACCGTCTGCTGCTCTCTCAAGGCTACACTCCCCCGTCTAGCTCCCGAAAGCCATGCTCCCGTCTCTTCGCCAGGCCACAGCATGGCGTTCTGTTATCATAGGAAGGACTGCATGCTTGTGGGTTTACTGACGAGCGTGAGAGTTCTGTCTTTCATGGTTCAAGGGACCTCACATCATTTTCTATAACGTTTTATGTTCCCACCAATAGAATTCAAGTGGTCCTTTTTCACAATCTTTACAAAGTTTCAGTGCCTGTTACCTTTCATTCTAAATGATAATTTATATAAGGGGGGGATTTGGTGATGGGCCCCTTTAATCCCAGCACTTGGAAGGTAAAGGCAGGCAGAGCTCTGAGTTTGAGGCCAGCCTGGTCTACAGTGTGAGTTCTAAGACAGATAGGGTCTATGTTGAGAGACCCTATCTCAAAAATTTTGTAATTATTATAGAGAAATATAGAATGTTTGTACATGTATGATGTATGTGTATGAGTGCATGTGTGTCCTTGCACTCCTGTGGAGGCTCGAGGACAACTTGAGGGCATCTGTTCTCTCCATACACCTTGTGGGTCCCAGGTACCAAACTCGGGTCGTCAGGCTTGAGGAACAAGTACCGTATGCTGCTGCAGAAGCATCTGGCTGGCTCTTCAGGGGCCTTCAAAAGGCCCGAGGGTGTGTGAAGAGACTCAGTGTCCCATTCCAGAGTGTACCTCCCTATGTTCTGAGCCAGGTACCCACCCCCACCCCGGCTTTCATGTTTTTGCCTTTTTGCACTGGTGTGCTGTTCTGTGGAGTTCCTATTCTGTGCTCACATGATGCTCTGCTTATGTGACCTAACCTTGTCATGTGACTCAGTGAAGCAGGTGTGATTAGTGATCTCATTTTCCTTACGTGGGAACTTCAAGGCCATGCCCCCAGTGAGTGCAGCAAGGATCTCCTTGCTGTCCTGAAGGTGATGTTTGTGAACTTTAACCCCAGCTGGGACATGAAGACACGGTGAACTAGATATGTCAGTCTAGAAGAAGCCTCAGAAGGCATGTCATCAATACCCCTAGGTAATACATTTTCTGAGACCGAGAAAAGGGATCGCATATGGACTCTGCTGACGTCATAACTTCTTTTAGACTTCCCCCTCCTCCTTCCGACCCTCCCCCCTTCACCACTTCCTCACTGACAATATGTTTTCCTGTCAAAACATGGTTACACGCAGGGCAACCTAAATCACTGCTATTAGCTTAATTGAGGCAGGGTGATTATAAATAAACGACTTGCAGTGTTGGCGAAATTGCTGCTATTAATCTAAATTGAGACAGGCTGATCAGTCACCACCAATTACAGCGTAACACAGAATGCGTTTCATGGGGATGGATGCAGGGACTGTGTGGTCACCTGGCAACCCAAGAGATGGAAAGCCAAGTCCCTAGAAGGATAAGCTTCAAGGTTGCAGATCCAACCAGAAAAACCTTTTGAGACAAAGCCTCTGAGATCTGTTTGGTGGGAGTGCTTTGTAGGTTGATAATGAATGTTTTAGAGATACGGGACCGGAAATGAGCATAGTAGGAGATGTCCCCAAGTGACAACTCTAGAACACGCTACACATGTTTGTTCACGTACTGACTGGATCTCCTGCAGCTACCCTAAAGTGATTTGAAATGGATTTAGAGTATTATTTTGTTTCCTCCTTATTACACACACACACACACACACACACACACACACACACACACACACACACACACTACATCCTTGCAGCAGAAAACTTCAAAAATGTACCTAACATTGCTGGATAACCGCTGTCTCCACCACCTCCAAGGAGCATTTGTTCGAGGTAGGTGAATCTCTTCCATCATTACACTTATATATTCCCCTCAACATGGGAACTGTCTACTAGATACGTAATTTTGCATAGAGCTTTTATTTTCACAGGTGGGAAATCCATAAAGGACCTAGACAAGGCACATTAATGGTGAAGAGTAGCTGAGTAGGGGTGAGAATTAGATGTGCTCATTCCTTTCCTGGAGGAGGTGTGAACTGGAAATCCTTCCATTTCTGCTTCTGATCCCAAATCTCAACTTCCCAAAATCCCAAATCTTGCCAGTTGGAAAAGCTCAGTGAAAATGCTGTGTTTCATTTTTTATTCTATTATTTTATTTTACACTCCAGGGCCCTTCAGCCAATGGTCTAATGGGGTTTCACTTTCTACCCTCCTGATATCAAAGCAGAGCTAGACATTCTCCAAAGTGCCTGGTGGTGTGAAAACCTTCCTCTTATATTTTGAAAGGCTAGAGAGAGATGCATACTACCGTCTGTTAAGACAGACTAGTCAAGATGACAATTGTTAAATTTGAGTTGATATTTTGAGCTCAGGTAGGAAGATATGGATAAGTAAATGTTTATTGTTTAGTCTAGTAGAGATGTTCCCCCAATGGTGTGCTGGTGATGCTTGTAAATTAAATCACAGGGTCCAGTTTTCTTCTTCTTTCCTCAGCATAAATGAACCCTATGTTGACTGCAAGTTCTTAGGTTCCTAAAGCTTGGTGTCATGGTACACACATATAATCCCAGTACACAGGATCCTGGGGCAGGATGATGATATAAGCCAACCTGAACCAAAAACTGACAGTAACTACCATAAACTCCCCAGGTCCCTACTTGTTTTGTTTTTAAGATTCATTTTATTTTTATTCATGTATAGGTGTGTGTGTGTGTGTGTGTGTGTGTGTGTGTGTGTGTGTGTGTGTGTGTATGTGTGTGTATGGCACCTGTGTGCAAATGCCCATGGAGCCCAGTAGAGGATGTCGTAGCCCCTGGAGTTGGATTTACATGTGGTTGTGAGCCACTTTATGTGAGTGTTGGAAATCAAGCCTGAGTTTCCTGGAAGAGCCACAAGAACTCTTCTTAACTGAGTGAGGATGCCGAGCCATCTCTGCAGTCCCCCTATTTGGAATTAATGATTTCAATCCAGCCAGTGTTTTAGGGAAAACAGCAGCTTGTGCTTTGTAACAACTGTGCCATAGAATCTTTAAACCGAGCAGTACTTCCCTTCACTGGGATTTGGGTGTGGAAAAACTACATGGTAATTTTACTTTATTAATTGTGTTGCATTTGGGGTTTTTATTCCTTAAAATCCATCCTGGTAAACAAACTGGAAATCTCCCATCCCCATCTTTCCTCTAGTGTTTCTCTCCTTCCCTCCCTCCCTTCCCTCTCTTTCCCTCCCTCCCCCCTCTCTCTCCCCATCTCTCTTGCTCCTTCTTTTTTACATCAGGAATTCTTTCTATGCTCCCATGCTCCAGGTTCTCAGGTTAAGTTACCTTATATAAATTGCCTTACATTTTGTTTGAAACTGTTGGTTGATGCTGATATAAAAAACAAATAAAACCCAACAAACCAGTCAAGCAAAGAAAACGGAGGCAACGTTTGGAAACCAGGGGCTATCAACATTCTTCAAAAGCATCTTTAAACACTGCCTGTGACACAGCCTGAGTTTTCAAGTCATTCAGCCCATGGTTTGGAGACAGATAATTGCAAATTAAAGTGATTTCTGGGAGAGCTTGTTGGGAAATGTCTGCAGGGAACAAAGGCAAGTTCTATGGTGATGGACCAGTTTCTCGTTTCAGCAAATTTCAGACCATAGTGAACTTTTCTGTGAAGCACCCTTCTCATCATGGGGGACACTTTCAGCTCCTGATGTGCCCCCACTCCACCCTAAACACTCAGAGACACACTTGGCCTCTTCTCATTTAAAAAATGTGCTGCTTGACAAGCCTGGGAAGACTGCCTGCCAGTCAGTCTCAGAGAAGTCATCAGCATCCTTCTGTCTGGGGTAGCTTGCTCAGCCTGTGGAACGCCTGCCAGGTCAGAAAGGTTCACGATGACTGAAGTGTAGTGAAAAGAACAGAGAGCTGAGTGATCCAAAGCCTGGCCTCCCCATCATGGATCCACTCCCCCAAGTCTCTTGTTGATTCTGGGAGAATACCCATACTGATCTGCCTGACTGCTTTATGGCAAAAGCTGTCACAGCTGTAGACACCTGGTAAATGACATTTTAAAAAATTCCAGCAGGGCATGGTGGCATAGGCCTGTAATCCCAGCGCTTGAGAGGCTGAGGCAGGAGAGTTGATGCTAGTTTGAGCTATCCAGAAATATTTTATTTCAAGAAAATAAAATGCAAAGCATAAAATTGTCATAGCAGTAAGTACATACCCATTTGTTTACCAAGAAATGAGGAGGAGCCTCCATATTAATTTCCTTAGTGGCTCTTTTATTAAAAGGAGACCGTGGAGATAGCTCATCCAGCAAAGAACAGATGTACAGGTACGATGACCCAAGTTCAGTCCCCAGCATCCATGTGAAGAGCTGGGCATGATGTCACATACCTATCTCATAAAACAAGGTGAAACTTTCCTGAGGATTGACACCCAATATTGACCTTTAGATTCAGCATGCTCCCACCCCCAAATATATATATTTCAACACAGAGAGAGAGAGAGACAGAGAGAGACGGAGAGAGACAGAGAGAGACAGACAGAGAGAGAGAGACAGAGAGAGAGAGAGAGGTGTACATGAGGAAGCATTACCAAATACATACCACTTGCCAGAAATTGAATGATTATTTAATGCCTTCAATACATACCTCTAACTTGGCTTAATCCGGTTAGTTTAGAAACTAGGAATGGTGTAGGTGACATTTCTTTAAGAACAGAGTATAAAACTGTAGAGACTGGAATCTCAGGGTGGGGAAGATTTCACTACATTGAAGGTGTGGCTGAGTGTGTGTCACTCACAACAATGGGAAAAAAACCCTCTATGTTTAACTGACACCGTGTGTTAGAGCATCATCAAGGAAAAGAGACATTTACCATCATAGCTAAAAAGCTTCCACTCAGATTGGTGATAGAGGTGCCATGTAGGTGGAGTTTTTTGTCAGGACCACCAGCTCCCCAATAAAGGTCATGGAGACTTATTATTAATTATAGATGCTTGGCCGATAGCTTAGGCTTGTTACTAACTAGTTCTTATGACTTAAATTAACCCAGATTTCTTATCTATGTTCTACCACGTGGTGGTGGTTTTTTCAGCCTGGCAGGTTCATCTTGCCTCTCTCCAAACCCTGGTGACTTGGCACTTCTTCATCCCTGTGCTCTCTCCCTCTCCACAAGCCCTGCCTAACTGCTTCCTGCATAGCTATTGGCCATTAGCCCTTTATTAAATCAACGAGAGAGCAACACAAAAAGGCTATTCCACAACAGTGCCAGGCCTCTCCCTCTGCAGACCTGAGTCATCAAGTGTCTTCTCTCTCCTAGGGCTTCAAAGATCCTGTGTACCGGGCAAGACGAAAGCAGTTTGCTGACATTGCCTACAGCTACCGCCAGTAAGTCTCCCTGTCGGACCACTGAGAGAAGAACACACTCCTAACCCTTGCTCTAAGTTGGAAACTGTCATCCCAGAACACCCTGCTTTGCTTGTGTGTGTGTGTGTGTGTGTGTGTGTGTGTGTGTGTGTGTGTTGTGTTAGTATGTGTGTGTATATTTGTGTATGTGTATATGTGTATGTGTGTATGTGTACATTTCTTAATGACACATTTTTAAAAAATTGCCTCTAGATCAAACAGAAGTACCCACTGCCATAGCCTAGCTCTCTCCCAAGCTTGGCTCACTCAGTATCCATTGTGTCTGGAATGATTGGAGAGGCTTCCATCCTGAATGGAACAGCCTCTGGTCCTCTCCACATTAGACCAAGAAGAAGAAAGCTGACTGCTCCAGTGAACTAAGGAGCCCTGGAGCCTTTGGACTAGTCACACGCCCATGCTCTACTGGTCTTGTTGGCCCAGCCATGTCAGGGAACTATCAGATGAGATTTTTTTTTCCTGTTCAGAATTCTGTCATTTTATCCAATAGGAAATGGCCATATCAAATGTGATGTTTGGGAACATAATGACTTTGCTGTTTGGGGTCCTCAGGGACTATGTAAATTGTAACTTGGGAAACTTGGTGTTTTGAGAACAGTGGTTTCTGAGTTAAGGGAATAGGCAAAGACATGCATAAAAATAAACTCCAGAGCTGTCCCGGAGACTGAGGTACTGGGACATCACCTTAACAGCTTTGGTGGGACATAAGGAAATGCCGGGGCTTTATGGGGTGAAAACAAATCTACCTCTGGATGGAGAGACATTCAAAACATCACCGTTTCTGAGTGACTCCTGGGAGTGGAAGGATCCAGACTTAGGTGGCTTTAGTCAGATTAAGGTCCATTTGGACCCTGCCTTCTGTTTAGCAGAAATAAGGGAACATGGTGACCTTTCTCTGTCCTCACCTTTGTCCCACTAAGTCAGTATAGGCAAGAACACTTCTCACAGTCAGGTTGATTATCATCTCTTCGCTGAGTATTTGGTGTTTTGCTAAATTTCACACACACACACACACACACACACACACACGCACACGCACACGCACACGCACACGCACACGCACACGCATACACACACATGTACACATGCACACACACACACACACACACACACACACACACACACACTACTCATTTTTTTCAGAAGAAGAAACAGAAGCTGAAAGAAGTTAAATAACTAATGGGTGACAAAGGCAGGCTTTAACTTTACCTGTCCCCAGAATTAATCTCACCATTCCCATGGAGTCTAGTAACCCCGGGCCTAAAAGCAGGTTCAGAACTCAGGGTTTCATTCCATCTTTCTGGCTCATTCCCTTAGGACTGTTCTTGTTACAGGCTTGACCTCATCTTCTCAGAGACAGATTCCACGTGATGTCCCAACTCAAACAGAAGTCCTCACTCTTGCCTGCAAAGTCAGCCAGAGTTCTGTGATTGGGTCTCAATAGACCTGAATAGACACGGGCCGGTTTGTCAGCCAATCACTGGCGTCAAAATAAAGAGACTGTGATTGGATAGCCCTGACCACACTCCCACCAGTGAGGGTAGGAAACATTGAGAGTCCTCTTTCTAAAATGCCACAGGCTGAAAGGTGTGCTTTACTACAAGAGGGGGAAGAGATGCTGGGTCACTGGGAGAGAAAGGGGACAGATGCATGTTCCAAACGTCACCACTAACGGAAGCTGGTTGCAGAAATACCAGTTGCCTGTCTGTTTTTGTTTTTACTTTTGTTGTTATTTATTTATTTGTTTATTATCTTTGTTGTTGTTGTTGTTGTTGTTGTGTGTGTGTACCTGCCACGACTCATGACAACTTGTGTGACTCAGCTCTCTCTGCCATGTGGGTTCTGGGCTTAGCAGCAAGTGCCCTTGCCTACAGAGCTACCCTGCTGGCCCCATCAATGCCTTTCTTTGAAATAAGAACTAGTTATTTTAATGATCAATGGTTATTGCCAGTTCCAATATTAGGAACTTGTGAATTTCCCAAGTCACAATTTACGTATATATACACACATATATGCCTATATATATATAGGCCTATATATATGTATATATAGGCCTATATATATATATAGTTGTGTGTATATGTGTATAGTACTTTATGCATAACATTTCATATAATCTTGTCCGCATTAAAAATGCATGTTAACTGCAGGACTAATGCTCCTAGCAGTTCACTAAGTTGCCAGAAAATGGCAGGGCTGAGTTTTGTTCGGTTTCTATTTCCAAAGCCTTTTCTCTTTCCTTTCATCACCACTTAAACCTGGATTATGGCGTAGTCTTAGGCAAAGGCTCACCTGACACTGTCTTGTGGTCCTTGGTGGTGGACCAGAAGATCCTCTCAGCTTGAGTCCTTTTCATTTCTCAATCACTAATCTGTCTTTCCTTCCCAATCCTGGACCACCTTTCTGTAGAAAATAACAAGTCTTTGCTCTAATGTCCTTGGATGAGCTACAATTTTGAAAGTGCAGGAGGAACTTAGTTTGGAACTGATCCACAGTTCCAAGGTAAACAGTCCCACTTTGTCCCAGACTCTGTGTCCCTGGTGACGGAGCAGGGTTGCAGCCCAGGGAACAGGCCCTGCGCTGGGAGGTCAGGCTTTGTTTGGTTTTTATTGTCTTCGGGACACAGCTCAGAAGCTTCCAGACTAATGAATCTTAAATTGTAGCTTGCGTCAGTCACCTAGGGAGTTTATTAAAATCCACCTGTCCACGGCTTTCCCTGCTCCAGTGCATCAGGACTGTGGGACAGGGTCTCACATAGGTGCTTTGACACACTTGACTTATAAGCATATCTCATACCTTAGCATGCTTATTTGCTCCTCCATCTCAATATTTATAATTTCTTACCTTTGGTCTAGAACTTTGTTAATTGACAAATCTGTGTGCTTACGACATGTAGCATCACAAACACACACACACACACACACACACACACACACACACACACCTTAAAGATATATAGATATATATGCTGTGGGACCTTAGCCTACATTTATATAACTTCATAACCCCCCCAGGAACAGAAGCAACAAACTCAGCAGGTGCAAGCTCCCCAGACAAGTTCCAAACACACACATACTCTAGCTATTAAACCCAGGTTAGCCAGAGCTGTTCGTTTTAGTTGATATAATACAAGACACTCTGGTGCTTTCACTGAACCCTGTTTGGAAAGAGGATGCATTGTCTAGTCGTCTCAGCTGCCAATCTTTGTACTTCCTGTACACACTGCTTTACACCTGTATGTCACCTGCCAGCCCCCACCCCCACCCCCAAAAAGCAAGTTTCTGCCTTGAACAAACATTTGGACTGTTAGAAGAGCAGAAAGGCCAAATGACACCTTGGGATGATAGCAATTTCTCAACCAAACCATGTTCTCCCTCGGGAACCAACACAGCAGTTTCCTATGAGATTTTTCTCTTTCAAACAATGCTTGTAGTCCATGCTGGTCAGGGGTGGCACCTCACAAGTCGTGGGGCTCTTCTGACCTTACCACATTGTGTGCCCTGACCCTTCCCTGCTGGAGACACCTGTTGCGTGTCTGTATTCTAGTGGGCAGCCCATCCCTCGGGTGGAGTACACCGAGGAGGAGAAGAAGACCTGGGGGACAGTGTTCAGCACACTGAAGGCCTTGTATAAAACGCACGCCTGCTATGAGCACAACCACATTTTCCCACTTCTGGAAAAGTACTGCGGGTTCCGTGAAGACAACATCCCCCAGCTGGAAGATGTTTCTCAGTTTCTGCAGAGTAAGTCCACATCGGGGCCAAGCCCTGCAGGCAGTGGGGTGGGGGAGTGGGGGTGGGGTGGGGGTAAACAAAGGCTTCTGGGAGTAGTGGTGATGTAGTGCAGGCTGAGTCTCCCAGGAAGAGTCCAGCTGCATTGTCTCCTGCCTTGCGTCTCACCTCCATTATTGATCTTCTTCCACCCAAGCAAGAACATCAGGTGTGGATTTTTGCCATGTAATTGTCTCTGAAAGGATTTCCTCTCATGCCCTAAGCCTGAGGTGCCCAGTCAGTGTTTCCCCTGCGGTGCCCACTGTTAGGAAATGGCTACAATGCCCATTCAAGGAAAAAGTGTGATCTTTGTGGGCCAGGGCCAAGAGTCACTTGTTGTGAGTTTATTCATCTGGGATGGATCCTGCCTTTGACCTTTTCGGGTTGTGTAAATCTGCCTTCGTGTTGTCACCTGCCAAACAGACATGGTCGCCCTGTTGGCATCCGTCACAGGGAAATTACGAAAATGGAGTGAGATGTTGCATATGAAAGCACTTGGTACAGTGCTGGCTGGGTCCACAGTCCGGGGTCAGTGAGTCTGAGGGCTAACGGTGCTGTGAGATGCTCAGAGATGCATTAGCTGAGGAATGAGCCTCTGCACAGTCCTTCCAAAGGGAGATTAATGTTTTTCCTTCTGACGAGAGGGTGTTCATTCAGCAAAATCCCAGCAGTCAGCCAGTTCATATTGAACACCTACTATGTGCTCAGTAGAACAAGGAGAAGTAGGGAGATGAACCACGGTCATATCGGAAGGAATAATTATTCTGTGCATCAGAACCTCAAAGAGATAGGAAATGGGCCAAACAAAAGTATATGGCAGGGAGGGAGCTTAGAACTGGAACAGACAAGGTGATCTTCAAGGTCTCTCCCTCTTCTAGGATAAGTCAAAGGGCAAGAGTTAAACAGAGTAATTATCAGCCTGAAAATGTAGAGTGAAGGGAGAGAGACCCAGTCCTAAGGATGGTCTCCAGTTTACTGCTGGAAGTTGTGACCAGTAGCTATAATGATAAACATCAATGCTAGCAGTTGCCAAGTTATATAATTACAGTCAAGAAGCTTTGAAGCCATGGGGCCCATGGCTTGTGGCCCTGGACTAAAAGCTTTAATCCATGTCTCAACTTCCCCATCTTTAAAATGGGGATGATAAAATGTCTTCCTCACAGTTACTGCAAGGGTTAACTTGTGCCTGGCATGTGTTAGGTAGTATGCAGCCTTAGTTATGGTCATCAGCAGTGACATGTTCTCCTCCCAGTATATGGTAGATTGAGAAACAGAGTAGATGTAGGAAGTAGAGGACGGTTATCAATTGATAACTTTAAAGAAAAGTTATGGAGAGGGTGTGGCATAGATGGGTGCTCAAAAACTTCCCAAGACTTTAATCCCTGATTAGGAAAATGTCTTCTAGTTCTCAGTACCCTCTACATTGCAGAGCTAAGAGAAACCCACGTGTACTGCTTTATGGATGAGAGAGAGAGAGAGAGAGAGAGAGAGAGAGAGAGAGAGAGAGAGAGAGAGAGAGATTGGATGCAGTCAATTCCTCTTCTCCACTTCTGGTCAGACAGGACATTTCTCCTCCCAGGATGGGCTGTGTGTGGCACAGTAGAGAATCTGGAAGGGCCCATGGCACACTCTACTCCTGATGTGGACCTTCAGTCTCCTTGCTACTCCAGAAACATGAGAAGTAGTGGGAAAGTATTTGATCCTAATAAACAGTAACAAAAGAGACATTTACTGGATGTTTGCAATGGACTAGGCTCTGCTAAGTAATTTTTAGTCATTGTTGTTTTGATGTTCAGCATATCCCTCAGTAGGACCCACCTACATTTTGCAGGTGAGAAAACTGAACCTCAGCAATGTGAGTTTACTTGACCCAAAATAGCCAGGGGAACAGAGACCGGAAGCCAAGTCTCCTTGGTGGGAAGCCCACATTCTCGGGTATTGGTTCTCTACTGGGGGTTTTGTAGCCTCTCTGACTTCACCGCAGGCTTTAAGTTTAAGGTTCTTTTCTGCTTTCCAGCTTGTACTGGTTTCCGCCTCCGACCTGTTGCTGGCTTACTGTCCTCTCGAGATTTCTTGGGTGGCCTGGCCTTCCGAGTCTTCCACTGCACACAGTACATTCGGCATGGATCTAAGCCCATGTACACGCCCGAACCGTGAGTATCAATCTCCAGCTACCACTCACTGCCGGTCACAGTGGGCACTGGCCCTACTGCTCTAGGAATGCTGCTGAAGTTCACTGCAGGCTGGTGCGCATGGCTCGTGGCTTGTTTTATTTGATCAGAGTTCTGAGAGAAACTCATACCCTGGGGAATTTCTTGTGCCAAATAAATTTGGATGCACAGATTCGGACATCCCGTGAACCAAGGACTGGGATCTCCTCAGGCAGCAGGAAAGGGGGATCCATCAAACCTCAAAGTCAGACCTCCGAAGTTCCAAATAGGATATGACCAAGAGTAGGCAAGAGATCTCGGCATCTCCGGTCCTTTGCCTAGATTATGTCTTGGCCAGAAGGAGAGAATGAGAGGCCCTAATGCTTCCTACTTGGGCTCTAGCCATCTCGTTAGTCATATAGAAATTGATCCAAAGAGATCAGTATGATGCCCCAAATTAGTTCCCCTCCTCAAGACGTTAATGGCTACTGATTAGAAAGGATTTGTTGCTATTGACCTGGTACTGTTTTAGATAAATGTAGCCACCCCTTTTTTTGACTGTTGACATGCTCCAGGCCAAGAAAAGGGCAACACCTTTTTTTAAAAAAAAAAAAGTTCTTATTGAAAAAAACTGGACACATTATCCCTCTCCAGTTCAGTGAGTGACAAGGAGATTTGGGATGGGAAGAATCTGTAACCCAAAACTCACTCAGGTATCTGAGAAGAGACCCATATGAATGCTGGGTCCTTGGCTCTGCACCTCAACCCATCCAGTCTCCCAGGACTCCTGATGGCTCTACCTCTGCTTTCTTTCCTTTCTCTTTCTCCCTTTTATTTCAAGGGATCCTTTGCTCGGCACATGGCTTCCTCCTGAGAGTAAAATCCCAGGTCTCAATGAGCTACGTCTTCCTGTCCATTCTTCAGATAAAATCGTTGAGTTTAACTTGGTTTAACCTGGCTCTCTTCTAAATGTTGTGCTTTCTGTTTTAGGGACATTTGCCACGAACTGTTGGGGCACGTGCCCTTGTTTTCAGATCGCAGCTTTGCCCAGTTTTCCCAGGTAAGGAGAAAAAACTCAGTTATAGGGTTGAGACTGCATTACTGGAATGAGTTAATCCCTGACAGAGGGCTGTCACATGCTCTGTAAGAGTGGAAGCAAAACACAATTCCATGGTCCTACCTGAGAAGAATTGCACCGAGAAGGGGGTGTTGTAGCTAGAGTTTTTCTGGTCCTTGCCCACAGTCAGGACAAATCTCTGTCTACCACCAGTCCCACAGCCGCTCAGACCCAACCAAGTAAACACAGAGACTTATATTGCTTACAAACTGTATGGCCATGGCAGGCTTCTTGCTAACTGTTCTTATAGCTTAAATTAATCCATTTCTATAAATCTATACCTTGCCATGTGGCTCATGGCTTACCGCCGTTTTCACATGCTGATTGTCATGGCGGTGGCTGGCAGTGTCTCCTCCCACCTTCCTGTTCTCTCAATTCTCCTCTTTGTTAGTCCCACCTATACTTCCTGCCTGGCCACTGGCCAATTAGTGTTTTATTTATTGACAAATCAGAGCAATAGATTTAACAGACAGACCATCCCACAGCAGGGTGTGGTTCTGTGGACCAGGCTGAACACTTGTTCTAAGAACTGCAGCCTGAGGTTGGTGATGGATCATCCTCTGACATGCCTATGCTCAATTTCTCATCTCAGTGATCCTGTCAGGTGTACATTGGGAGCCTTGTCACTGATGAAAGCATCTCTGATCTCTAGGCAGACGTCACCTCAGCTGCTTCCAAATTTGCCTAGTACTTCCCATCTTGTCAGGTAGCCATCTGGAGGTGTACTTGAACTGGGAGAGATGACATTTGCCAAGAGTCCAATGGCAATGATCTTATGTATAATTGACTAGAGAAAGAAGGAAACAAAGAGAGAAAGATAAAAGAAAGTGTCCAATGTGTCATTGCCCCCGTCAAAACAGTGCCATGGCCTTGGCTCATCTTTTCCAGTAACAAGAAAACTTGAAATTATTTTCTGATGAGTTAAAACGTTCTCATAATTCTCTCTCATCACTGAGAAGGATTCTCACCATTTTGAGTGTGTGTGTGTGTGTGTGTGTGTGTGTGTGTGTGTGTGTGTGTGTGTAGGGGTGTCTAGGGAGATGGCTCAGCAGTTAAGAGAGCATACTTCTCTTGCAGAGGACCACAGAACTCACATCAGGCAACCAATAGCCACCTCCAACTCTAGCCCCAAAGGATATGATGACTGTGGTCTCTGCATGCATTGGTGTTCATATGGACATTCCCCCACAGAGACACACGGGCATCCAAATAATTTAAAAAGCTAGAAAAATATTTTAAAACACAGCTGGTAGCTGGGATTTTGGAAGACTGAATGATGGCTCTAAGGTACTTGGAGGCCAAACCCAGAGCTTGGATGAACAGAAGCTGTGTGAACTGGGACAAATTGTGAAGCCATCTTGTGTCTCAGTTTCCACGTATTTGAATGAGTAAAATGTCTTCCTTCTTTGTCTTCTTCCTCGCTAGAAAGAATGATGATCAAAGGGTGACTTGTGAGTGAGTGCTGCTCCTGGTAGGAATTTGAGAGTAATGACGTGGTGTGCAAATCTTCAAGCATTTCCCATCAGTTCCAGGAAGTGTTTCTACTATGGAACAATGAAGCTGCCACTTGATATTTGCAATGAACCAAATAAAAAGTTCAACTGACTCCTTGACTCCTTAGCAGACTTAGGCTCTCCAAACAAAAACACTTGCTACTTCCATGTGAGGTTTTGAGAATTATGGAGCTCGGAAACCATTGGACTTTAGAAGTGGGAGTGTCTGGTTGAACTTTAACTGTGGGAGTGTTATTGCCAATTGTGTAGTTAGAGCTGCCAAGATATTGTTGATTTCTCAAGACAGTTTTAAAGCAGGGACTTGTTACTATGACGGGAGAATTAGAAGCTTTCTCCTTGGAGAATAGGAAACTTGAGTTCTTGACAGCAGAGATGCTCTGTCTAGCTGTAGAGCAGATGGCAGTCTTCCTTGCATTTTGGGTAACCCTGGAGAGGAGTGGACAATTAACGTCAGCAGACATTGCAGGTTCATCTGCTTGATACTCTCAGCTTTGACATGGATGGTTCCAAGGCTAAAGTTGTTCTCTGAGAACATTTTGTTTTGATTTAGATGCAGCAGTTTCTTACCACCGTAGGACAGTATGGGGATGGTGATGGAGTACAGAGGGGTATTGGGGGCCCTTGTGTAAGCTCTCAGCTTACAAAGAATGATGACAAGCTATTGGGTGTTGTGGCACACACCTGTAATTTCAGCACTTGGGAGATGGAAGAAGGAAGATCAGAAACTCTGACCTATCCTTGCCTATACAGTCAGTTTGAGGCTAGCCTGGGATACATGGGACCCTATCTTTAAAAAAATGATGTTAAGAGAAAAGGGCAGGGAGTTGACCTCAGTTTGTCAATGGATTCTGTTAAACTCGGGATTGGCATATCTAGGAATAGAGTAGAGGAGAGTTAGAGTAGAGATGGAGAAATAGGGTAGCAGAGTCAGGATAGAGGCTATCAGGCAGTACTTTTTGTAAGGACAGTGTAGGCCAGTCTCTGGGTGGGGCCCAAAGAGGGCTATGGTGATACGGAGCATGTAGCCTCTTGCTTCAAGATAGACAAAATCCTTAGTCCTCCTCCCTGTCCGCATCCATTCCTTTGGTGAGCTTAGCCAATCTCATGGCTGTGGATACTATTGCTAATGTAATATTGAACATTCACGTCCTCCGCTTAGACTTCAATGCTAAATTCAGACTTACATATGAACCATCAACTCAGAATCTCCACCCCACTTGATATTGATTAGACATCTGTATATTCCTGTCCAAAGCTGAATTTTGAATCTTCTCAAAGCTTCTCCACCCATAGATTTCCTTGTAAGAGTCCATGGTAACTCCATTCTTTGACTTGCTCAAATCAAAAACACATCTGGGGGTTAATATGATCTCAGCTATTCTTGTCCCACAGTTGTCTTCTTTGGTAGCTTCCTCACTGGCATCCCACCTTTGCCCTTGACCCTACAGTCTATTCTCACAAAGCAGCTAGACTAAGTCTTCGATGACCTACAGTAGCTCATGTCCACTCCAGAATAATTTATATACATGTATGAAATTAACAAAGAAGAAAACCAACACAAGTTATCAAAAATCCTAGAACAGATTTTCATTTCACTGAAAAGAAAAATTCAAGTCCTTAAATGTCTAAAAAGTCCACATGGTCCCACTTGGGATATTCAATTCAGTGTTACCTACCAATACTCTCACTATGCTCTAGCCATGATTGTCCCTCCCTCTATGCTCTTTGAAGACCTCATTCCCCTTACCTAGAGAGTGTTCCCACTAGTTGTATGCTTCTGCTTGCTCTGCAGTATCCCTCTTCCCATCATCGATGGAACCAGTGACATTCAAGTCTTTCCCCAATTACCACCTTCTTGATAATGCTTTCCAGGAACCCAAATTAATAATGCTGTGTGACCATACACAAGCTTCCTTATTATTCTTTTTTGTAAAGGGAATGCAAAGGAACCAAGTACTGGTGACACACTTCTCTGCTCCTGAGGTCTGTGCCTCCATGCTATATGGTCCAGCCAGAGTGGACTTCTAAGATTATTCAGCAGCGTCAGTCTGGGCCCTTCAGAAGGTGCTTTCTTAGTCATGCATTACCTGTCCATGGCTGGGTGCCAGGTCGACACTGAGGGTAAAGTCTTCATATGGACTTTCCAGTAACTCTGTTTCTCCACACACAGGAAATCGGGCTTGCTTCTCTGGGTGCACCTGATGAATACATCGAGAAACTGGCCACAGTAAGTCTCTTTTGTCCATAGATGGATTACGGTAATGCCACGGGCTGTGGCCTTCAGATCTTTGAAGATTCCTTCTCTTCCTGGCAGTTAGGCCATTTGAAATAATGATAAGAATGTGTTAAGTTGCATTCACATGAATGAAATGTCACATTTTGATTTTTTTAAGGGGCTGAATTATTATTAATATTTTTTTTTGAGACAGGGTTTCTCTGTGTAGTTTTTGTGCCTGTCCTGGATCTCAGTCTGTAGTCCAGGCTGGCCTTGAACTCACAGAGATCTGCTTGGCTCTGCCTCCCAAGTACTGGGATTAAAGGTGTGTGTCACCACCACCCAGCAAGGGGCTGAATTTTTAAGTGAGTTTGCACATGGATATTTCTACATACCTGTTAATAGGATCTCCTTGAAAACATCAACCAGCCATGGAAATCCTTTGGCTCAAAGTGTGCCGGGAACTGGCTGGATTTATAGCTCTGTTCAGTGAATATTTACCTCTCTATGTCTGTACTAGAAGTAGCCTTAGGATCTTTCTCAGACAGAAGGTAAAAATGGGGCAGGGCTTCACATTCTTGCCGAACATTTTCTCTCACAAGAGAAGCAGGGGCCATGCACACACAGGAACCGTGGGAATACCAGATCTGCACACTTTGCAATTTCCTTCCTTACATTTTCTAGTTTCAGTATATCCTTCTCTGGGTATAGAACCATGTTTCTTATCATATGTCCAGCCTGGAAGACCAAAAAACAAATTTTTATGTTAAATTAAAAACTACAATGAATGCAAGCCTAGCATGGACATGTATTTGGTTAGAAGTTTATATACTCCCTCCTTCAGAAAGACTAGAAACTTCTAGGTTTTGGCCACTGACCATGTATTTGCTCTGAGTTTCAGGGCAAGTGGCTTATGTTTCTTTATCTCTAAAAATCAGCATAAAGTTTATTATCCATCTCGAAGTATTTCACGTGGATCTAAAGAGTTAAGTTTGTGTGAATGCGCGTTTTTACATTCTAGGTATCTTAGAGAAGCAGCTTTCCAAGGGGTTCTAGAAAAAGTGGTTAGAATTTATTATTTATAAGGAGTAAAGTCCTCAGTTCCAGAGTACCTCATTATGCCCCTCACTGATGAGAAAAGGAGCCACCATATTGGTACACGGGACTAGGAAGCCGATTGATGTTGGAAGAGTCCACCATATTGATACATTTGACTGGGAACAGACTGGTGTCTTTTCTGTGCCTTTGGTTTTGTGTGTCACTGTTGCCTTAGCTTTCTAGGCTGAAGGCTTGCTGTGTAGGGTGAAGTCGTATTTGCTAGGCTCTGATGACCTTCTTGGGCTTAATGTTCTGCAGTCTAACAAGGAGACTTAACTGTTAACCCACCCCTAATTCTCCAAGATGGTGACCATCTCCAGAATCTCACTGAGCCCTGGTCTCCTCCTGGTGCCAGAACTCCAAGACTGCCATCTAGGCCAAGTACCAAAGACATGTTGGACTAGGAGGTGCTGTAAGAAGAGGGTGTGGTTATTTGGGAAGACACATAGCTGTTGACTCCAGCAGTACCCCATGTTTTTGCATAGCAGAGGAGTGTGCACCTCATGGATTCTCTCACCATCCAATCCCTTAACCACTCACTTCTGTTCCTCGATAACATTACCAGATGAGCCCTCCCAATATAAGAATATCCCAGGAATCTACCGTTCCTGTTTGTGCCACAGACAGGACAGGTTTCTCTGTGTAGCTTTGCGCCTTTCCTGGAACTCGCTCTGTAGCCCAGGCTGGCCTCGAACTCACAGAGATCCGCCTGGCTCTGCCTCCTGAGTGCTGGGATTAAAGGCGTGCGTCACTACCGCCCGGCTCTAACATGGTCTTATCACACCATGATTCATCCATCCCTGATTCAACAGGTGACAGCAGAAGAAGGCAGGGAGCACAGAAGTGATGCTAGGTCTCACTGATTCCGAGCACACATCTGTGCAGACGCCTACCGACAGATATGTCCTCGTTCTTTGGGCACCTGATGTCTTGTTCATCCCTTGTAAGTGTCTTTTGCTGGCTCTCTGTTCCAGATTTACTGGTTTACCGTGGAGTTTGGGCTCTGCAAGGAAGGAGATTCCATAAAGGCCTACGGTGCTGGGCTCCTGTCATCCTTCGGTGAACTACAGGTTTGAGTTGGACAGAAGTACCAAGCATGGGTGCTCAGAAGCAAGGATGTAAAGGCCCATTCTCATCTTTGTGGCTTTGCTAAAGTGCTATTAGTTCATGATTAGAGGTGCAATTGGTACCTTAGCAGCCATGATTTGACCACAACTGTGTTGTTAGAGATAGAAACTCAAGTACAAGTTTACAGGACTCTGTGGAGGAGAGGCCTCCTGAGCCCAAGCTGACCTAGACATACAAATTTGTTAAGAATGCAAACATACACCGAGCAATAGGGTCAGCTCCCACAATGTCTATTGCACTCCTTACTAGAGTGTGTTTGAAATGAATTGTTCCCTTCTCGTTACCTGTCGGGTTTAGGTGAGCTGTGGAGAGTTGAATCTAGTATGTGCTAAATAACTCGGTTTACTGAATTTACAACAGGGTAGGGAAACTGTGAGATGGGAGAAGCTTTGCAGAGGATTATGGGATGCAGGTGGGAGCACAGGCCCTGACTGAACTGAAAACTTTTCACTGGGTCCCTGCAGTACTGTTTATCAGAAAAGCCGAAGCTGCTACCCCTGGAGCTAGAGAAGACAGCTTCGCAGGAGTACGGTGTCACCGAGTTCCAGCCCATCTACTACGTGGCAGAGAGTTTCAATGATGCCAAGGAGAAAGTGAGGTGAGATTACAGAAAGAAGGCCCAACACTGTCCAATTAAGATACACCCAGTGAGGTGGGTGTGAGCACTCCCCAAAGTCAAATGGTGTGCTCCGTAAGAAGAGAGGGAAAGAGACGCAGAGTAGTCAAAATCCCAGATGTGCATCACGTGAGTCATGGCACCACCTGGGTTAAAAGCTCCTTTCAGAGAGGAAAGATGGGGAGGCAGACTTAATGAACTCACAAGCAGTGTGACAGCGCTTGTCACACCCCTTTGAGCCGAAGACTGTCACCCCCCTAATCTCACAAAAGAATAAGGGATGTGAGGAACAGAGGAGGTGAGCCTCTTGCCTGTGATCACAAGGACTGTAACTGACAAGAAAGGAACCCAGAAAACTTGACTTGGGAACTTAGGATGCTGCTTTTGCCGAACCCGGGCTGACTCACTGCCTGTCCTGATAATTGTCATTTTTTTTTAGTAGCTTTTACTTCCATCATAGGCTAACCTAGAAATAATACCCAAGGTGTCTTTGGAGTGTCTTGTTAATTACACTGATTGATGTCCCCCATTAAGGCCCTCCTGGGAGATTCCTACAGAACTAGGAGTCATGCTTAGGGAAGGCAAGAAAGCACCTGGATCAGAATCAGGCTGCCTGGGTTCCTTCACAGCCCTGCAACGGACATTAATGGTCCGGGTACTCAGTTTCCCAAGCCTCCGCCTCCTCGTTTGTAAAATAGTGGCAACTGCAGTTCTTAATTCTTTATCCTTTTGTAAAGGGTTGCTTCATGATATTTTTAAGAGGGTTAGAGCTATTAGAATTTAATGTGGTTCTAGGTTCATGCCCGATCCCCACCACTGCAATATTTTATTCAATTGCCCAGAGCTGTGTGTCTGTTTGCATTGATTGTCAAGTACCTTAGATATTTTTCTAATCATATTCCGTGGCTAGGTTTCATTTACTCATTTATCTTATCTAATGCATGTATTTTGTGCTTTTACACACACGTACAAATGAAGGCTTCCCCAGCTGACCTCACTCAGTGGCATTTCACATCTCAGCCCCAGCTTCTGAGCTGCTGTTGGAGGAAGTTATTTGGCTCCTTCAGCCTAACCTCTCTCTAAGTGAGGCCTTTGGTGTCGGTTTCAGGGCCTTTGCGGCCACAATCCCTCGGCCCTTCTCAGTTCGCTATGATCCCTACACCCAGAGGATTGAGGTCCTGGACAACACTCAGCAGCTGAAGATTCTGGCTGACTCTATCAACAGTAAGTAACTCACACCCCTGGGACTACCTTCTTTCCCAGGGTAGAGGCGTGTCTTCTCACCTGTCCCACAGGGACAAAAGAAACGTCTCCACATGTGCCCTAGGTTCACTGGAAGGAAAAGAACTAGGCAGATTGCCTAATCTGCCCCTTTGCCTTTGACCTTCTGGCATCCAGTCCCATCACTCACCACGACACTACCTTCTCACACCCAGCCTGTCACTCTGAGATTCTCCCTCATCGTTTGCCTCTTTTCTTCTAAATGTCAGCTGATTTCACCCAGCCTGGAATCTCTCATACTGAGTACTAAATTCTCTCTGCTGCATTGGCTGCCCATACCCCAACTCATCTACTGCTGCTGGCCTCCTGCTTTCCCTTGGTGGTGGATATTATAACAGTTCCTCTGGGGACATCTCTGGTTATCTTGTTCACACCTGGTTCTCTATGGCCACTGAAATTCCCCTCTAGCAACTCGGATCGGCTTCTGGCCCCTGCCTGCTCTCCTGTCTTTTGCCCAAGGCATCCTTCCTGCTTAAAATACTCTTCTTCCATGCCTACCTGAGATGTCCAAAGCCAGTTCATCTCATATGACTTGGAGGGTGACTGGCTCGTATGTCCTTCCTTTGTCTTTATAGTCTTGTTGATCTTCCTCTCAGAGGATTTCACCATTTTAGAATTAGACACTTCCTAAGTGTCCCCAATTAGACCTGAGCAGAGCTAAATATCAGGCTCACTGTTAAGTCCCTAGAACCTAGTTTTATTCATAAGAATTATATTAGATACTTAAGAGCTTTTGAATGAATGGGTTTATGACTGCAGGGAGTCACTAAAAGTGGTTTTATATATTAAATCATGTTTCTGTAAGAACAGAAAAAAATTTTGTACACACCATTAGAACACTGCAATTCATAATATATAATGGCTACCCATATAACCCCAGCTGTTTGAGACAGAGTTTGTGGATGTTGTACTGCATGATGGCTGGCACAGCACCAAAATGTGCATCTTATGTGTCCAGAACCAAAACTACAGTCGGGTGGCATCACACGACACAGGCAAGTAATGCCCAAACCACCTGGGATTCCTAATGCATCTAATTCTCAATTAGTTTTTTGTTTCCATTATCAGCATGGTGGGCAGGGTGGCCGGAATGCAAACACGGTGCTGGAGAGCTAGCTGAGAATTCTATATCCAGATCCACGGGCAGCAGGAAGAGAGAGAGAGCCACTGGGCCTGGCTTGGGCTTCTGAAACCTCAAAGCCCACCCTCAGTGACATGCTTCCTCTAAAGGCTACATCTCTTTCAACAAGTCTACATCTTCTAATCCTTCTCAAGTAGAGCCACTCCCTAATGACCATTCATTCAAATATTTGAGCCTATGGGGGCCATCCCTATTCAAACCATCACAAATGCTGAAAAATATTTATAGTCCTGAATTATAGTCCCAAACTCAACTTCCTAAATTTGTGCAGAGGCTTGGGACCTCAGGTGATTCTGGCATGGGAGACTTAAATGAACTCCACCCCATCAGGTTTTTAACAGCTTAGAGTCTTGAAGCTGTTATGGATAGGTATGCTAAAAAGAGTGCACCAACCTAGGTGTTTGCTTAGAAAACTTGTTGCTTAGAAAAGCCCCTTTAGTGAGGAAACAGCTTGTGAAAGGAAGCAAACTATATAGACAACACTCATTACTCATACGACCTGAGCTAGTGTTGGCTCTGTAACTAAGCTGTGAGTGCTCTGAAGTTTGGGGTGATGCATCCCACTGACACTATTGGGCTTTGCATTTATCAATGAGTGGCTCACTTTTGTGCTATTCTTCTTTGTAGGTGAGTTTGGAATCCTTTGCAGTGCCCTACAGAAAATCAAGTCATGAACAGAAAATGATATCATGGGTAGAACTGGGGAGGTCAACCAAAAATCGTTGATAGAGATATAATAACTACTGTCTTTCATCTGAAAAGAAAAACTTTAATTTGAAATGTTGGCTTTTATTACTTCTGCTAACACAGTGAATTATCACCAAATATATCAAAATTCCCTTAAATGAAAGTATATTAAACCCTTCCAGTGGAAGATCTTTCAGAGTCATCTTTGATTTAGACATCTCAAACCTTCAATTTAGTTTAAAATATAATTTTTCACTTCTCACCAATATTCATAAAAATTTGTTATCCTTATCATTCAGGATTCATTTATTTGTTTTTATCTCCCAGGTAAGCCCTAATGGAATAATATATATATATATATATATATATATATATATATATATATATATATATATATATGGCTAAGTGTGAAACATAAGACTGTCCTCAGGAATGAATTGTTACATTCAGTACAGATCTCAATCCACAAAGCTTAACTTCTGCATTCATTCACTATGGCTCTCAGAACTGATTCATTATCCTGCCTATAAAAATCTCCTCTGATTTGAGACTCTATCAATATAGTTATGAGCAATAAAGTTTTAGATAATTGTATAAAACATTCTCTGTGCTTTATTTATGTATACTATGCTGCATACTATAGATCTGTCCAACCAATCCTCGTCCCACAACTTTTGATATCATTTCCATGTTATTTTTCAAGTATGTTTGGGAAATATTTTGAAAGAACTTGTGATCCAGAAGATATTAGCTAAAGACAGTAGAAAGCCTTTGAATGCTGGGAAAATAGCTGGATACATTTTAAAATAGTAAATCCACTAGAAAAGTAAGGATTTTATTTATGCTGGGGAAAAATATCAATGTCACAACATTTTAAAGTTTCAAATGCTTCTTTGAATGAAATATTTCTCTCACTGCTTTAGAAATCCATTAGCTGGAAATTCTTGTGACACAAACTAGAGGCTCAGGGGCCCAGTCCACTGCATGGATCATTGTGATAACTGAAGTCAGTTGTGGGGGGCCAACAGACTTTGGTTATTGTTGGTTATGAATTTTACATGAGTATATGTAACATATGAGAGGCAGTGGGGGTGCCATTGTCTTTAAGAGTGTGATTTAAAATTCTTACATAGGGCACAATAGATTTTTAAAGCAGTTAAGTCTTAGGGGATTTACGTGGTGCTTCTTCAAGAGTTCTTCTCAGACCAGTTGTAGCATCAACAATAACCCTGGAATATTCTCTTATCTCTTCTTATTTAGAATTACTGGGCAAGACGCCCAGGAGCATCCCCAGGTTATTCTTTCTTTTACATTTATTTATTTATTTATTTATTTATTTACTTACCTACTTACTTACTTACTTACTTGGGTCTGTATGTATGTGTCATGTGTGGTGCCTGTGTGTTTATGTGTGTGTGCAATCATATGCATGTGCAGATGTGTGTGCCTGTGATTGCTCATCTGAAGGTCAGAAATCAATGTTGGGTATCTCCCTCTAATATTCTCCACCTTATTTTTTGAGGCAGGGTCTCTCATAAGCCTCATCAAGTAGCCCATGATCCTCTGCTCTCCACTTCTCCATGCTGGAATCACAAGTGGGTGCGGTTGCACCCGACCTTTTGCTTGAGTGATGGGGATCAAGCTAAGGACCTCATGTTTACACAGCAAGAACATTACCCACCAAGCTATCTCTTTGCCTTGCAGTGTAGGATAAAAAAAATGGAAGAAGACACACAGAAATGGAGAGATGTCCTATGTTCATGGAGCAGAAGAAGTAATATTGTTAAAAAGTCCATCTAAGGATGTTTTACCTCCTCCACAGCCAAGATTATATGGGTAGCACAAATGAACTAGGTGGGGTGTTGAAAAAATAAAGAGAATGTGGAATTGGGAGGGATGAGGGAGGAGGTGGAGCTGGGTCAGGAAGGAGTCATAAGAGGAGAGTAGGGGGTGAATATGATTAAAGCACATTGTATGAAATCAACAAAAATTAATTTAAAATGTTCATGTAATCTAAAGCGATTAACAGATCTAATGAAATCCCTGTCAAAACCCCACTGATATTTTTTTTAGCAGAATTGAAAAAATAAATCCTGAAATTCACATGCTCCTCAAAGATCCTCATTAGCTAAGGAAACCTTAAACAAGAAGAATAAAGCTTGAGGCATTATACTACTTGATCTCATAATGTCCTATAAACCTTAATAATCAAAATGACATGGTGTTATCATGTGAAAAAGACATATACACAAATGGACAGAAGAGAGATCCTATAACTAGAGTTTTCCTGCCTGGCCCACAGTCAGGACAAATCTCTGTCACCCGCCAGTCCCACAGCCACTCAGACCCAACCAAGTAAACACAGAGACTTATATTGCTTACAAACTGTATGGCTGTGTGGCAGGCTTCTTGCTAACTGTTCTTATAGCTTAAATTAATCCATTTCCGTAAATCTATACCTTGCCACGTGGCTCGTGGCTTAACGGCATCTTCACATGCGGCTTGTTGTGGTAGCGCCTGGCAGCGACTCCTTCCGCCTTCCTGTTCTTTCTTTTCTCCTCTCTGTTAGTCCCGCCTATACTTCCTGCCTAGCCTCTGGCCAATCAGTGTTTTATTTATTGACCAATCAGAGCAATTTGACATACACACCATCCCACAGCAGATCCCAGCAAAACACCCACATCCATGGTAAGCTGATTTTTGACAAATTTGCCACAGATATTCCAATGGGGGGAGGGGAAGACAAACTTTTAAAAATAATATTGGAGAAGCTAAAGACACATATACAGAAGAATATAGTTTGGCTTTTATCTCATATGTATGAAAAGCAATTCAAAATGGATTAAAGATTTAAATGTAACTATATATATGTATATCTCACCTAGCTAAAATATATAAAGAGCTCAACTAAAAGGGAAGAAAAAATCTGATTATAAAATATGCAAAGGACCGAGCTCTGCAGCTCCAGACTCCATCCAGAGGCTGTAGACCAGGGCCTTAAACACCCACTGAGCAATGCTGGCCAGGACCATGGACAGCTCCTGCTCCCTGGTCCTTGTCCTATGAATCAGTCTCCAGCTCTAACCCCTAGAATAAGCATCATGCCGATGGATCTTCCTTTCCACCATTAGGTGTTTTCTGAGTTACTGGAGTCCAGCTTTGAGCTAGGAGGCCCGCAATGTTCCAAAGCCAAAGAGCTCAAAAAGGAATTCCCCATGAAGGACAATGTTTGCAGCTGTATGGAGCTCAGTTTCCATATCCTCATATGACAAGTGACAGTCTACTGGGACATTCAACAGAGAAAGCAGGTAGAGGATAGAGATATTAGAGCCCAAGTCACTGTTTTTTCTTCAGGGGGTAATGGGGTGGTGAGATGACTTGTTGAAAAGAGGCTAGGCCTGCTTCCTTTGAGGTCTTGTTCATTTCCAAGAGAGGAAAAGATGAAAGAGAGATGTGTCAGAGTCCTCCACACAGTAGAGATATAGAGAAAGAGATAGATAGATAGATAGATAGATAGATAGATAGATAGATAGGCAGACAGACAGAGTTAGTTTTATGTTTGTGTCCATGTGGTTGTATGTATATGTGCTCATGTGGAGGCAAGAAGTTAATGTTGAATGTTTTCTTCAATTGCTGTGCACCTCATTTTGTGGGACTGGGCCTCTCACTAAACTTGGAACTCACTGATTGAAACAATCTGACTGGCTAAGGATGGAGCTGAGCTCATTAGAATTGGCAGAGCCCCTCTGCTTCACCCTCTTCCCTCCCATCTTGCCTTTCCTCACCCATCTGTTTGTGGAAGAGGGCCTATCTATTTGATATTGCTCTTCTCAATATCCATATTTTGGTAGCCATTGGAAGGCCTTCACAATCGTCTACTCCCTTTTTTCCTTTTAAAATTAGTATTCTTATTTATTCTTTGCAAATATCATGTATTTATACACTGTATTTGGATCATAGCCACTACCTCCCTCCAACTCTTTCTAGTGCTCCCAACCCTGTCAACTTCCTAACTCATGCCCTCTTTTTTTATTGTTGCTAAAAATACCCTGAGTCCAATTCGTACTACCCATTTGTGCATGGGTGTGGAGCCATCTACTGGAGTGTGGACAACCTACCAGCAGCCACATCTCCAATGAAGAGTGACTATCCCTCTCTCGTCAGCCATCAACTGTCAATAACGCATCCACTAGGGGTGGTGCCTCAAGGGCTTTGTTCCCATCTATGCCAGAATTTTGATTGGCTTGATCTCGTTCAAGTCTTGTGCAGGTAGCCATAGCTGCTGTGAGTTGATGTGTGCAGTGGACACATCATATTCAGAAGTCACCACCTCATGGCTCTCCTCCTATCCTATTTAGTTTTTATTGACAACTTGACATAACTTAGCATCATCTGGGAAGTGTGAACCTCAAATGAAGTATTGACTCCATCACATTGGCCTGTGAACATGCCTGTGGGACATTGTCTTCATAGCTAATTGATGGAGGAGGGACCAGCCCTGGATAGGTGAACACGGGGGTTATCTGAGAAAGCTAGCCAAGAAAACTAGAGAGCAGTATTACTTTTCTAGTTCTGCTGTGAGTTCGTGCCTAAGTTCCTACACTGGCTACTCTCAATGATTGATTACCTAGACGTGTAAGCTGGAGTAAGCTCTGCCCTCCCCAAGTTGCTTTGGGTCAGAATGTTTTATCCCAGAAACAGAATGAAAGTAGAATAGCGCCCCACTCTCTGGCTCTTACATTCTTTCTATACCCTCTTCTGCTGTATCCCCTGAGCTTCAGATAGGGAGGAGTTGATATAGACAACCCACCCACAGCTGAGCACTCACATTTACCTACACTCAACACTTTGATTGGTTATGAGTCTCTGCATCAAGCCACCACCCACTACAAAAGGAAGCTTATGTGTTATATTAGCAAGTATCTTGAAACAAGCCAAGTGTCCCTCAGGAAAAGGTTGTTTAGACAAATTATAGTCTATGTAATGTAACGAGATATTGTACATATAAATTCTGACTAAGGAAGTTTAGAACATATTGCAAAATGAAGAAAAGACCACATTTTCAGTTTTTGAAAGGTAGCAATAGCTTATATGTCTAGCCCACGGGAGAAATAGACCCTAGCCTTAGGAATGTCAACCATGGTCACTGCGACTGGGAACCAGGCTGAGAGGTACTTTCTTTCTTTGACTTATACTATTTTTTGTCTCTCTCAAAATTCATGTTGGAATTAATTCTAGTTATGAGATATTAAGAGGTGAGAACAGATAGTACTAGAAGAGGTGATCAGGGCTTT